AATACCCAGAGGAGGTATTTTTGGGCTATCACACGGCCGTTTGAAGGCAGTGGCCACCCACAAGTCCTGTCCGGTTTCTTCTATATTTTTATGTTTRCTGTCCGCACACCTGATATGGTTATCGGCCGGCTGCACGATGTCTTGACAAACCTCTTAATACTGAGCAGCTGAAAACACTGATCAAATATAAGTTCCATGCGTGTTGGCTTTCCTTTTGGAAATTCATACTCTATGCAAAAACGAACTGCAAAACGATTTGGAAGGTTTTCATACACTAATCTGCATGTTTCTATTGTGACTATATTTTAACATTAATCTCCTCCAGTTTTCTACGCTCCTCCTTTGAAAAAATCCTGCACTTACTTSCGGTAAACTTTTCATAACAAAAGTTCTACTGTATGAATTTCTGTATGATTTTCTGTATGTTTAGTATTATTCTTTATCCGTTAACGTTTGTGATCCCGATTCCTAGACATTGATCCCAATRCCAAATCTGAAAGTGTGATAATTGAGCCCAAAACATTTAGAAAATGTAATCTCTGAGCCCCAAGATTACAGTGATTCCAGATCTCACATACCATAGTTTGTAGAGGGAAATGGTTAGGAGCCTTTTGTTGTAGKTTTTTTGTGCCCTTTTTTCCAAGCGCGACCGTGCACAATCTTTTGTTTAACGATTAACTATATGCCATTCCCCCTTTCTCCCCTCCACTCCCATCTAATTAAGAGCCGCGTACTGGACTTATAATATTCCAGTGCACACTGATTTCCTGGAAATATAACGTTCTACAGAGTATTAGCATTGTGCCATTCTATAACTGAACAGAAGTTGTGRATAGTATTTGTTTTTTTGCCAATTTTGGGTAGTGATGCATTCTATTCCAATTTCCAGGCAAAGTTTAACGTTAATTTGTTCTTCTTAATCAYAGTAAGACTATTCAAAAGACATGTTCGACCACGATGCAACACAAGTTCGAGATGCTGCAAACAAACATTGAATGTTAACTTTCAAACAATTGGCTTTGACTGGATTATTGCGCCCAAGGTTATGAACATAAATATATGCAAAGGGATTTGCAAGTCTAAATTAAGGACGAAGTCATCTTATTTATACGCAAAGATACTGAGAAAAATGGTAAAGAACGGWCTTCTCCAAAACCAGCATCAACTTCTTTGTTGTAAACCATCCCTGGTAGARGAACAAACAATAATAGCAAATATTAGTGGACGAATTAAGATAGAAAACGTAAAAATTAAAGTCAAAAAGTGCAGCTGCAGTTGATGTTATATTAAAATAAACACAAATAAGGAAAAACCTTTCATCCTCGTCTTTAACGTAATCAGGTCTTCAAAAAATCAGTTTTGAACTTAATCGCGACTCATTTTATGGTGTTCATGGCTTATCACTTTGTCTATACATGGGCACAGTAGTCTTGAAAGGTTGTCCGTCCCTATCATTATCTATTTATCGCCAGTAAAAAAACGAGGAAGGGGGAGGAGGGGGGTATGGTTTATTAAACATTTTCATAGTACACGCAAAGAAAACTGTAAAAGGCCCAGTGTGCACCATTATKCTTTGCGAGCCGCGAGGGCCTGGCGGTGGCCATTTTCAGTTTACCGAAGTCTATACTGAACTGTACTGTGCGTTTCGAATCCGCTCATATCTTGACATCTCACTTTTCTAAGCACTTTCAACGCTAATATTAGAGTTTCAACCATCGGAAATTCCTCTTATGGTGATATTTGGGCACTAGAAGTATTTTTTATCTAAAATCTTTTAAGTTAAAAGATTTTAGATAAAAAATACTTCTAGTGCCCAAATATCACCATAAAAGGAATTTCCGATGGTTGAAACTCTAATATTAGCGTTGAAAGTGCTTAGAAAAGTGAGATGTTAGTAAMAATAACAGAGCCGCGTAAAGCATAATGGTGCAAACTGGGCCTTTATAGATTTCTGACACCCTACCCGATGAAGCAAATGAAGAATAAGTGAGYCACAAATTAAAATGTATATACGTGACTTACCGTTCGGCGCAAGAATTTCTTTTAATACAAACAATGTTTCACAAAATATAACAAGAGCGTGACCTTTTCAACCAGTTTAAGTGCAGCCTCAACAGTTAAAATTTTTGCCAGAAGCCAGTTGATTTAGCATGCTTATCCGGATGAAGAGTAAACGATATTGTTAGCCATAGAGTAAAATGAACATACGTGACTTTTCCTTTGGCACAACAATTTCTTTCAATACAAACTTACATATACAAAAATATAACAAGAGCGTGACCTTTTCACAGTTTTCAACCAGTTTAAGTGCAACCTCAACAGTTAAAATTGCTCAGTGTTGACAGAAGGCCTTAAAATACACTCAAAATAGGCTTGTTACTCTCACTTTTCCTCTTTTTTTGTTCATTTTAAAATCAAATTTTGATCACGGTTCTGCTGACCTTAATTGCTTTTATGTGAGCGGTAAATGTGGTTTTCCTTTAGACCAACAAGTCCCTGAAATGAATACCATGCTTCCTCAATTCTTCGTTTGTAATATACGTCACAGTGGCTTTCTTTTAAGCTTCAACAAAAATTTCTCATAGACCTAAACGGTCACCCAATTCAAATCCTGTGAGAAAAAGAACTTTTGTTTTTAAGAATTCAACTGTGAAATGAAAATACAAGAAACGATGAAACTTACTCGACCCCGTTTTAATAGGTACGTGCCGCCAGTGGTCTAAAACCCGACCCTGTTTTAAAGACGCTAGAAAGTGAAAATCCGGCATGCCCTGTTCTATAATAAGACAAATGAATAGCTATCTACGCCGCAACCATCAAAACTGCAATTATACTGACATCCATCAAAGACAATAAGAAGTTTTTAGTAACACGTTAATCCTGGTACAGTGAAACGGTATTTCTACTGTTGGCTTCATAACACTGATATGAAGTTATTGTTCTGTTTGTTGTCGTCATCTATAATAATCTTTTAACATGTTTTTAAAGCCACCAGCTCAAATTTCCTTGCTTTTCTATTTGGGTAGTATGAAATTATTGGAAAATTTCTAGCCAATTACATTTCCAATCAAGTTACTAGAGGAGGAAAATCGACCGCAGAAACACCCTACCCTGCAGTTCATTATTTAAACTTTCGCCCTCTCTATGACACAATCTGGCACAATTTATGCTGTGGAATACGAAATCCAGTCCCCGGATCCAGACTGACTTGCCGCAGCCGAATGGAAACGGAATCTGATATAACGAGATGAACCCAGAATCAACAAACAACACAAAATCCTTGAGAAAATGTTCATGGAATCCAAAATCCAGGATTCATTCCGAGTTCACAGGTAGATATCATATTCCAAATTTTTGGGATACCTGCGCTTTTGTTCGTGCAGTAATTCTGGACAGCGGCATCTCCTCATACARACGGCGGGGAATTTTGAAACTGTACGAAGTGAAACAAAGCACTCGAATTCAGATCTCAAATGACTATTTTGAACAACATTAATAATCACGAGGTAAGGAAAACATGCTGATAGTAGTTTATCGGAGCTTGATGAATGGGATTCTTAATGTAGAAAACCTTTGCACCATTGTTTCGTTTCGTTCATGAGTGGCTGAAACATCTGTTTGAATTTTTTATCTAATAAGTACTTAACTTAAGTCTTAAGCTTAAATTATAATTAAGTTAATTTAACTTTATCCAAGGTATTATTTATTATTATTATTATTATTATTATTATTATTATTATTATTATTATTATTATTATTATTATTATTCGTTTAGTTTAAGTTGTGCCTAGCCTATTTATGCCATTATCAATGTTGAACACAAGGGATGCAAGGAAGGACAGGAGGGGGGAAAGATCTTGCAATGCGGTGGCCCTGCAATGTATGCATGTGAGGAGTCAATATAAATAACTATGCAAAAAGGTATGAAAAAASCCTCTCAAACAATATTACACATCCTGATGTAAGGATGCTATCGGATTGCGGTATTGGGCCATTATAATGGTGGTATTAAGGTAATTTATATTTTAACATGCGATAGATGCAATAGTGTGCATTCAAGTAATAAATAATCTTTGTTTTTCTTCTTTTAATTTGAGTTATCCATTAGTCTAAATTGACTAGTACTACTTGTAAGTGAATGGACTTAACAACATAATTGATCATTTTAAACTTTACTTTTTGATACACAAGAGACTTCCTAGCCTCCTCTGCAGTCATCACTCAAGCGTTTCCCCTTATTTTATAGCTTTGGGCTACCTGTTTTCTGAGAAGAGTACAGGAGTTTACCTGTAGGGGAGGCTAGAGAATTCCTCCTTGTCTGACAGCCATCATTACAGTCATTASTGCACATCTTAGGTTCTTGCAGTATCTATACAGGCCACTCTACATTTTGCTTTTATAYTATACATGAAAACCCAACTTGAATCATATATACAAGTATATATTTTATGTCATTTATTCTTGTTTCATGAGAAAATATCCACAATGAATACTGTAATTGCCTTATTAGTTTGACTATAGTCTTGTATGTTTTGACAAAAAAAATCTACAAGTTTCAGTATCTCTTTAGCCTGAGTACATCCGGTTTATTTTCAAAATTAACGCTGGATGAACTCAGGCTATATCTCTTCCCCTCTCCTCAAATCTCTTATCTCTTAATTACATAACTTAGATTAAAACTAAGCAATTAAAAGCAACTTAAAAATCAACCAACTTAGACTGGTTGAATTTATTTCCCATAAATAGCATTCAATACAAGAAACTTTTATGTTGTTTGTATGAGATATAGCAGAGCTGTTGTACAGAATTACCAAACCTCAAAAACTATGAACAAAAATTATATAAAAATTAACTTATTTACTTAAAGGGCTACTTGGATGAAAATTGCAAAACATTAGAAAAGACTTGGAAATCAAATAGACCTATCCATATGGGTCTAATAATCATGAAGATTTCAAGAAGATACAGTATTGATACAAATCCTTAACAATTTGGTCAAAAAATGTTGGAGCAAATGATGTCATTTACTCCATCCTTTTGTTCTTCAATCTTTTGAATCGAAAATGTCTATGATGTGGGATAATTCCAAGACAAATATTTTCCTGCAATTGTTTTTAACAGATATAAATGAATCATATATTTGTATTGCTTGAAGTTTTGAAATAAGGGCATTTCATGCAAGTAGCACTATAATATTTATATTTCCTATTAGATTATTTTTGAATGGTAATRTAGAAATCTATAWRAATTACATTTACAAATTTACATTTTTAAATCCACCGTAGTTATAGTGTATTTTAAATGAAGAATCAGATTTGGAGGAGTCTAAAGCACTGGTCCTAGATCATATATTTGGTTATACTTGTTCATTTTACGGTGATTTTTTACACCAAATGAAATGATACCATAACTCATAAGAATGAAAACTAAAAGTGCAAAAGAAATRACTGCAATTAGTAATGTATAATTATGGTTATTGGCCACCAAAAGGCTTGAAACCCTTGATAAAGAGCCATTATTAGGTGCTGGAGTAATACCAAGAATATGACAAATAAGTGGATAAATGTCTACATTTTGAAATGGTTCTGAAATGTAGCCTTTCTTAAATGCAGGCCCTCTTGCTATAAAGAATGGACRCATGTCTTTATATTTGTTGCTGTATCCATGGTTACCWTGTTGTGTGATCTTAGCTGATCTGTTAAGAGCAATTGACCATCCTAGCTTACCAACAATCAATATTGGCCCTATACGTCTGTTTTTGCTATAATGATATTCAGCTGGAATGTCGTCTTTCTTATATACTTCCATATTTGAGACATTTTTGAGTAAGTTATATATTTGATCTGTTTTTCCTGGTTTAGGCCACAGGAACATGAATGAGTCCCAGGTACCAGAGACTACAGGGGTATAATTTTCTGAAGGTATGTAGTCACTAAGATATATAACCCTATTTGTGGATATATTTGTCATTCCATGGTCACTGGTGATAATAATGTTTACCTAATGAGAAAAATGAATGGTAATTATATGGTCAATTAAATGATTAATCAAATTTTTATGTACAGCACAGCAAGTCGTTATTCTGTATACTTGTTTGTCATGTATTCAATTCAATTATTCATGTAGCAACCCTCCCCCTCCCTCCCCCATCTTTGACAGATGAAATTGTCTTTAAAATATGAAACTCAATTTGTCAAATCAATACGGTAACATATTATTTACACATTATTTATTAAAAAGTTTCTCACTCTTTACCTCATCTAAAAGTCCCTTGCTTTTGAGTTTGTTGATCAAGTATCCAGTTGCATCATCGACCTTCTTAATGTGGCGCGCGGGATCCCTGTGGCGCGCAGGGGATCTTGGGGCCCACGAGGGATGTTTTGTAANAATGTTTCACAAAATATAACAAGAGCGTGACCTTTTCAACCAGTTTAAGTGCAGCCTCAACAGTTAAAATTTTTGCCAGAAGCCAGTTGATTTAGCATGCTTATCCGGATGAAGAGTAAACGATATTGTTAGCCATAGAGTAAAATGAACATACGTGACTTTTCCTTTGGCACAACAATTTCTTTCAATACAAACTTACATATACAAAAATATAACAAGAGCGTGACCTTTTCACAGTTTTCAACCAGTTTAAGTGCAACCTCAACAGTTAAAATTGCTCAGTGTTGACAGAAGGCCTTAAAATACACTCAAAATAGGCTTGTTACTCTCACTTTTCCTCTTTTTTTGTTCATTTTAAAATCAAATTTTGATCACGGTTCTGCTGACCTTAATTGCTTTTATGTGAGCGGTAAATGTGGTTTTCCTTTAGACCAACAAGTCCCTGAAATGAATACCATGCTTCCTCAATTCTTCGTTTGTAATATACGTCACAGTGGCTTTCTTTTAAGCTTCAACAAAAATTTCTCATAGACCTAAACGGTCACCCAATTCAAATCCTGTGAGAAAAAGAACTTTTGTTTTTAAGAATTCAACTGTGAAATGAAAATACAAGAAACGATGAAACTTACTCGACCCCGTTTTAATAGGTACGTGCCGCCAGTGGTCTAAAACCCGACCCTGTTTTAAAGACGCTAGAAAGTGAAAATCCGGCATGCCCTGTTCTATAATAAGACAAATGAATAGCTATCTACGCCGCAACCATCAAAACTGCAATTATACTGACATCCATCAAAGACAATAAGAAGTTTTTAGTAACACGTTAATCCTGGTACAGTGAAACGGTATTTCTACTGTTGGCTTCATAACACTGATATGAAGTTATTGTTCTGTTTGTTGTCGTCATCTATAATAATCTTTTAACATGTTTTTAAAGCCACCAGCTCAAATTTCCTTGCTTTTCTATTTGGGTAGTATGAAATTATTGGAAAATTTCTAGCCAATTACATTTCCAATCAAGTTACTAGAGGAGGAAAATCGACCGCAGAAACACCCTACCCTGCAGTTCATTATTTAAACTTTCGCCCTCTCTATGACACAATCTGGCACAATTTATGCTGTGGAATACGAAATCCAGTCCCCGGATCCAGACTGACTTGCCGCAGCCGAATGGAAACGGAATCTGATATAACGAGATGAACCCAGAATCAACAAACAACACAAAATCCTTGAGAAAATGTTCATGGAATCCAAAATCCAGGATTCATTCCGAGTTCACAGGTAGATATCATATTCCAAATTTTTGGGATACCTGCGCTTTTGTTCGTGCAGTAATTCTGGACAGCGGCATCTCCTCATACAGACGGCGGGGAATTTTGAAACTGTACGAAGTGAAACAAAGCACTCGAATTCAGATCTCAAATGACTATTTTGAACAACATTAATAATCACGAGGTAAGGAAAACATGCTGATAGTAGTTTATCGGAGCTTGATGAATGGGATTCTTAATGTAGAAAACCTTTGCACCATTGTTTCGTTTCGTTCATGAGTGGCTGAAACATCTGTTTGAATTTTTTATCTAATAAGTACTTAACTTAAGTCTTAAGCTTAAATTATAATTAAGTTAATTTAACTTTATCCAAGGTATTATTTATTATTATTATTATTATTATTATTATTATTATTATTATTATTATTATTATTATTATTATTATTCGTTTAGTTTAAGTTGTGCCTAGCCTATTTATGCCATTATCAATGTTGAACACAAGGGATGCAAGGAAGGACAGGAGGGGGGAAAGATCTTGCAATGCGGTGGCCCTGCAATGTATGCATGTGAGGAGTCAATATAAATAACTATGCAAAAAGGTATGAAAAAACCCTCTCAAACAATATTACACATCCTGATGTAAGGATGCTATCGGATTGCGGTATTGGGCCATTATAATGGTGGTATTAAGGTAATTTATATTTTAACATGCGATAGATGCAATAGTGTGCATTCAAGTAATAAATAATCTTTGTTTTTCTTCTTTTAATTTGAGTTATCCATTAGTCTAAATTGACTAGTACTACTTGTAAGTGAATGGACTTAACAACATAATTGATCATTTTAAACTTTACTTTTTGATACACAAGAGACTTCCTAGCCTCCTCTGCAGTCATCACTCAAGCGTTTCCCCTTATTTTATAGCTTTGGGCTACCTGTTTTCTGAGAAGAGTACAGGAGTTTACCTGTAGGGGAGGCTAGAGAATTCCTCCTTGTCTGACAGCCATCATTACAGTCATTACTGCACATCTTAGGTTCTTGCAGTATCTATACAGGCCACTCTACATTTTGCTTTTATACTATACATGAAAACCCAACTTGAATCATATATACAAGTATATATTTTATGTCATTTATTCTTGTTTCATGAGAAAATATCCACAATGAATACTGTAATTGCCTTATTAGTTTGACTATAGTCTTGTATGTTTTGACAAAAAAAATCTACAAGTTTCAGTATCTCTTTAGCCTGAGTACATCCGGTTTATTTTCAAAATTAACGCTGGATGAACTCAGGCTATATCTCTTCCCCTCTCCTCAAATCTCTTATCTCTTAATTACATAACTTAGATTAAAACTAAGCAATTAAAAGCAACTTAAAAATCAACCAACTTAGACTGGTTGAATTTATTTCCCATAAATAGCATTCAATACAAGAAACTTTTATGTTGTTTGTATGAGATATAGCAGAGCTGTTGTACAGAATTACCAAACCTCAAAAACTATGAACAAAAATTATATAAAAATTAACTTATTTACTTAAAGGGCTACTTGGATGAAAATTGCAAAACATTAGAAAAGACTTGGAAATCAAATAGACCTATCCATATGGGTCTAATAATCATGAAGATTTCAAGAAGATACAGTATTGATACAAATCCTTAACAATTTGGTCAAAAAATGTTGGAGCAAATGATGTCATTTACTCCATCCTTTTGTTCTTCAATCTTTTGAATCGAAAATGTCTATGATGTGGGATAATTCCAAGACAAATATTTTCCTGCAATTGTTTTTAACAGATATAAATGAATCATATATTTGTATTGCTTGAAGTTTTGAAATAAGGGCATTTCATGCAAGTAGCACTATAATATTTATATTTCCTATTAGATTATTTTTGAATGGTAATRTAGAAATCTATAWRAATTACATTTACAAATTTACATTTTTAAATCCACCGTAGTTATAGTGTATTTTAAATGAAGAATCAGATTTGGAGGAGTCTAAAGCACTGGTCCTAGATCATATATTTGGTTATACTTGTTCATTTTACGGTGATTTTTTACACCAAATGAAATGATACCATAACTCATAAGAATGAAAACTAAAAGTGCAAAAGAAATRACTGCAATTAGTAATGTATAATTATGGTTATTGGCCACCAAAAGGCTTGAAACCCTTGATAAAGAGCCATTATTAGGTGCTGGAGTAATACCAAGAATATGACAAATAAGTGGATAAATGTCTACATTTTGAAATGGTTCTGAAATGTAGCCTTTCTTAAATGCAGGCCCTCTTGCTATAAAGAATGGACRCATGTCTTTATATTTGTTGCTGTATCCATGGTTACCWTGTTGTGTGATCTTAGCTGATCTGTTAAGAGCAATTGACCATCCTAGCTTACCAACAATCAATATTGGCCCTATACGTCTGTTTTTGCTATAATGATATTCAGCTGGAATGTCGTCTTTCTTATATACTTCCATATTTGAGACATTTTTGAGTAAGTTATATATTTGATCTGTTTTTCCTGGTTTAGGCCACAGGAACATGAATGAGTCCCAGGTACCAGAGACTACAGGGGTATAATTTTCTGAAGGTATGTAGTCACTAAGATATATAACCCTATTTGTGGATATATTTGTCATTCCATGGTCACTGGTGATAATAATGTTTACCTAATGAGAAAAATGAATGGTAATTATATGGTCAATTAAATGATTAATCAAATTTTTATGTACAGCACAGCAAGTCGTTATTCTGTATACTTGTTTGTCATGTATTCAATTCAATTATTCATGTAGCAACCCTCCCCCTCCCTCCCCCATCTTTGACAGATGAAATTGTCTTTAAAATATGAAACTCAATTTGTCAAATCAATACGGTAACATATTATTTACACATTATTTATTAAAAAGTTTCTCACTCTTTACCTCATCTAAAAGTCCCTTGCTTTTGAGTTTGTTGATCAAGTATCCAGTTGCATCATCGACCTTCTTAATAGCCGCAATAACTTCTTTAGAATCAGKGCCATAATGATGACCGGAATGGTCGGGCTCTTCAAGATACATTGTCAGAAACGACGGAGGATTTTTCATGCTTAAAAGTTCGATTACCTTGTCGACCCTAGCCTTGTAACTAAGGTTGTGATTGTACTTCAGGTAATAGGTAGGATATTGACCTCTGATTTTTACATCCGAACCAGGCCAGAACACAGTTGCACTTTTACCTCCTGCTTTCTGATTCGTAACCCACAAAGGTTCGCCACCGTTCCACCATCTTGTTTCGTTGTTTCCGACATGAAACCAGGATTTAAACACTGGATCATACATCTCATTGGCAACAATACCATGGCTTTCTTCATACAAACCCGTAACTATAGTAAAATGATTGGGAAATGTCTTGGTTACGAACGTATTTTCCATGTATTTTGCTTTTACTCCGTTCTTGACAACGAAATCCAAATTTTCGGTTCGTGTTTTGTCCATATAATCCCATCGAAATCCATCAAATGATATGAGAATAACCGTAGGATCTGGAGAAAAGTGTGCTAAATAAGAGCCAAACAATTCTAGAAAAATAAAAATAGTTATAAGTGGTATTTTCATGGTAGTTTTTAGGTGTTTTCAACGATCGATCACGACCAATATCAATTCATTTCCGACATTGCTGTGTTTTACTTGAAGACCACAGGGAACCCAMCTTGTTTTGATACGTTTCGAAAACTATTGCGGGTATMACAGGCAGCCCAAGCTAAGCATTTAACTAGCAGATTATAGCAATATCTATAATGCATGTAAATACGAAATTTTTGAAAGAAAAAATAAGTAAAAAACATTTTTATCATATAATTATCTATGAAATACCTATATTTCTCCATTATGTAAAATTGATATTTTCACTAGTGAAAATAACATGTTGTCTTACCTTATGATGTGGTCTTAGTTATGAATTTAAGGCGTAATTTGCCGTTTTTCTTTGATATCTACCCTCCTTTACTTATATCACGGTGTTACAGGTAAAATTTATCTTATTGCACTATAGGTTTCATTAGAAACATCGACGCAGCTTATACTAGTTTCGCAAGTTTTCGCCATTCTTCTCAGAAATTTTAACAGAGTTAGTAACTCTTAGTTAATTCAGTTTCTACTCGGTTAATTCAGTTTCTAACTGCGAGAGAGTATAAATAAACTATTATTATTGTTATTATCATATTATTATTATCTAACCGCCGACCGGTTAGCTCAGTAGGTAGAGCATCGGACTTTAGTGCGGGAGGTCGCAGGTTCAAACCCCGGCCGGACCAACACTCAGGGTCTTAAAATAATTGAGGAGAAGTTGCTGCCTTTGTCTTTCTCCATCTGCAAATGGTAAGATCTTCTCGTCCTCTCGGATAACGACGTAAAATCGGAGGTCCCGTCTCTCTACACTTCACTCACTAACCTGTATTAGAGGGACGTTARAGAACCCACACCACTGTTCGCATAAGAGTAGGGAATGATTCCCGGTGTGTGTGGCTAGGCCTTACTACTAACCCATACTAATTACTAACCCCTCATGATTGTAAGCCGCGTGGCTGCCAATTGCGCCTTAAACAGCGGTCCGTGTGAAATGATCTATACATGTGAAGCGCCTTTGAACTAAGAGGATATCGGCGCTATATAAATACCACATATTATTATTATATTATTATTATTATTATCTTATTGCACAACTGTTCAGGGTGGCACGTTGGTCTAGTGGTTAAGCTACTGGCCTCTCACCGCTGTGGTCCAGGTTCGATTCCCGGGCACGGACCATATGTGAGTTTGAGTTTGTTTGATGTGTTGTTCTCCCCCTTGCCACGAGGGTTTTTCTCCGGGTCCTCCGGTTTTTCTCCCTRAGTAAAAATCAACATGTGAGGAGTGTTGTGTGCTAAAGTGAGTGGGAGAGTACARGGGTCCGCAGTAATTGGATTACGCTGTTGTGGTGTCCCTGCCCATAGGGGCAAAGCTAAATAAATTAAATACATTAAGTTTTATTTGAAACGCCGAAGCAGCTCATACTAGTTTACCGCTAGTTCTCCTTATTCACCATGAGTAGTTTCAGGCAATAATTGACACACAGTATATTTGAAAACTAGCCAAAAATATGGCGTTAAAATTTCGAATAGAAAAATATTTCATCAATGTTTTTTTACGTTCATTTTATTTGTTTTTCATTAGTATTCCCCCCACACCCCCCACCCCCAACATTGAATTTTGTCTGATACGATGATGAGAAAGAACAAGTGGACGTGTGGGCGTCCTGCGATACAACTAGAAACTCAACCCAGGGCTACTCTGCTCGCTTTTTTCAAAATCTCTGGGCGCAGAGTAGGCCTGGGAACGAGGTTGCTAGAAACTCAGAGTAAATACTCGGGCTGCAGCACATGACTGGTTGAAACACAGGTCACTGTTATAGGATGAGTCGATAGAATGGGTGTCAAAGATCYATTTAAAAAATGTTGTAAAGGATTTTCAGAAAGATTATTGAAGAAGACTTTGATGTAAAAATCTAGGCTCAAAAGCAATGTGGTTTTCCTGTGGTTTCCACAGGGATCCCACAAAGCGACATGATAGACCTCGAATCGGAWGCCCTTCTGACATTCGGAGTAAATATATTTTTTCCAAGCAGCTATAGATTCTGTCAAAATTTCAAATGTCACATGAAATAAAATTTTCAATAACGCTCGAACACTTTCTACTCTTCAGTCAAACGAAAAATAAATAAACAAATATAAAATGAAAATAAACAGAATTGTACAGCTGGACTGCCTGTGGACAAAGCAAAGAAATAATTTGATTGCACTATAAGATAGATATGTCAGTTTTTGTTGTCAAAYGATAATAGATTATCATTTTTCTAGTTTGATATTTCTCCAATCTATTGTTGTCAACCCAAAATAGCGTATCTTTTTCAAAGGTTAAGTGCTTTTAAAAGACCGTATCAATTTAATGAAACGGCTCAATAGAGAAAATAAACAATTGTCCGAATATAGACGATAGCTGTTTTCATTTCTGATTTTGATGAATATTGATATTTACATAAGCCGATAATCGTTTTATTTGTATCTATTTTTGAARGTGAATTACGTGCCTTTATTATCAAGTATCGCATTGATAGTCAGAGTTCTTGACATTTCTTTTATAGTAAAAAATGTTTAGTTATCTTTTAGCCACCCAGGTTGATCTGCACTTATACCTAATGCTCCTTGATAACAGCATTGCTAGATTTTTATACAGACTTTTAAAAGAATTCTAATATTGTAGTATAAGATCTTGTAGAAGTACAGGTCAAAGACTAATTCAAGTGGGTGTCGGGTGTCCTGTGGAACGCTCATTTTTAGTGATCGGGAATGGGAGGGAGGGATCGGGGGGTACCTGATGGTTTCTCAAATGTTCTCAGAAATAATAGTATTTCCCACCTGGTTAAGCACAATTTTTACTCGTCCCCCTYMCCCCTCTTAATGAACCTAATAGTCCTGAAAATGGTTTTTAAATCCGCATCATAGTTTTTCGGGCGAGAGTCTCGAAGCAAGGTTTTTAGTGAAAACACAAAAAGAGGTTTAGTRAAAACACATCTTTTAACTCAGGTGTTGCGACCTTGATATTTGGACAACCAAACGTTGTATAGCCTCTAATGACATCATTTTCATATTTCATCATATTGATGAAAATACCAAGATGGCAAATGTTTTAAAAATTATGTTTTTCGACATTATCCGTGGCCGTGTTTTCTTTCGAAGAGAATTGAATAAGATGCACACACATTGTAGTATAGCAAAACCTATCTGGGAAATAAGTAACGCTTGTTGTCCCTAAAAAAGCTTGAGATACGATCAAGAAAGAACATGGCTCAGTTTATATTTCGCCAATCCCATGGTACATCACTACCGAAGCATCCTCAAAATCACATTATGCATCATAACTTCCAGCCCTCTGCAATGCACAATATTCATTTACAAATCCTCTCTTCTGAATTGCTGGTAAAGTTTTACAAAACGCTCGGAAATCGACCTGCMWAAAATAGGAGATTGATAAGAAGCTCATGGAATTGTCATTCAACCTCATTTTGCCCACAGGAAGGACGGAAGGACTCGGGCTGGTCACAGCAAATTGAGGCTAATATCTTAAATAACCGGGAATTCTTACTCTTCGATACCCTTTCAACTTGTTGATAGTGAGATATATATCAGAATAGAAAACCTCTAACAAATCTAGMCACCTCAACTAAAATTCTGGTAGTGATCAGGTAAAAACATAGATCTTGAACACATTTAGCCGCCAAAAATATCCTTTAAAAAGATATTTCTGTTTCCCCTCCGGGTTTTTCTAGTGGTCTGTCTCTAACCTCAATGTCTCCAGTGTTTGKTGAATAGATTAGGGTTTATCTAGTAATTGATTAGTGATACTTTGATAATTGACTGACAAGGATAGTGATTCTCCTTGCTCAAACAACTTCAATCTATACGTTACTAAAGTTATTTGAATGAAAAACTTAGAAAAAGAACACCCTTGCTTACATGTGTTCTTATACTCATTGCAATGATCATCATTTGAAACTATTTCACCTTGTCGTCTCTAGATATCTTAAACAGGGTCAAAAGTTTGCAATCGCCTTAAGAGCTTATCAAGGATGAAAGATAGACAATAAAAACAGATCGTCTCAAGAATATTGTGAACTGAGAGAGTCGAGCGTATTGGAAACACACGACATTCATTACAATTCACAGTTGAATTTCAAAATTCTTGAGTATAATTGTTAATCAAATTCTACTACTTCAATTTCATCGCTTATTTCTGAGCTGARTACCAATATGCGAAATATGAAGCCAATGTTGAACTGTSGTTCTACGAATAAGGGGCGATGGGATTTSCCGAAAACCACATCAAAAGTCCGACAGTCGGTTTCTGCCCGTCCCATCCTTTTCACATCGACGTCGGTTCACGGAACTCTAAAGAGCCGTTTTTCATACTTTGCGATCATTTTTCATACTTTAACTCCTAAGTGTTGCCAAGAAAACTAATGTTTTAATAATATGCTCTCCTATCAATTGCATGACTAAGTTTTGTTTTCTTTCTGGGTTTCCTGTTGTTCTTCCTGGTGAGGTATTTTTGTGTCTGCGCTCGTCTCTCAGCACGCGCATGCATAGGAAAACGCTTTATAGTCGTTGTTTGTGAGTGGGCGTCTCTTCGACTGATATTGTAATATTATAGCTAATACTACAGCCAAGAAACGCCTTTCATTGTCAAACATTTCRTTTGGCGATGTCAACAATTAGGAAAGCATTTAGTGGTCAAAATTATTCCGTTATAGTCCAACAGGCTCTGTCGCGACGTTATAGAAGGGAAGTAGAGGGAGGGGGCTATAGTGAAGAGATACATGCGTAACTTAAATTCCAATGAGATCCATTTACGACTGGCGTAATGTAATGTTCTGCWTAAATATCAAAAACCTTTCGAACTGTACTTCCGTAAGAAAGGAAACTAGTTTGTCGGCATCAAAACCCAAAGCGATATGCATCGGATTTAGTCTTTTGAACAGCCCTTTAATCTGAATGAAAACTGTCGATATTAAAAACATGTCCTCGGTAATTTTCTAGTGTTATCTTATCTGGAGTATAGCTGTGTGGGGTCCATGCACTAACCGATAAACACYCCATGTCAAAAGGGATTCTTGATTTTACTCTTRAAGTTCACATAACAAAACGTGTACACCGACCTCCTTTCTTTCTTAGTTATGGTTTTTACTTTATTTAGCACAGCTGCAAAAGTATCAAGCTTTTAGACGCTTATTTTGAAAAACTTGAAGTAAATAATTAAGATATTTGTTTGGGTTAAACATTCTATTTACACAGAAAATGTTACTTCATATTTGGGCACTTGCTGTGCTTTGACTATCGGATCATATATTACACTACTGGGACTGTACCTCCCATGCCATCCAAAGCCAAGTTCACATGTAAGCGATCACCATGAACTTCACAATCTTTGTTTGAATCATTGTTTCAGTTATTTAATTAAATTTCTCGCTACGATATCAGCATAGACAAAAACAGCAACTTGGCCGTCAAGTGGCCTCCTTTGTTTCGACAGGAGAAGGTTTTGGTTACCTCGATATTAAAAACCGGGCTTCCCGCTAAGCTCGCTCGTACGCGCGGGTATTCATAGAATAGATGATGTCCAAAGTGAATTATATTTGGAGATTTCTTTGCAGAGAAGTAAACTCTTGTCGTAATTGTCCAAATAATGTACTGTTTATTGAAGGACTTTGCTTCCTTGCTTTGTATTGAGCATGATAAACTATCTAAAGTGCCTCAACTTCTTAACACATCGTTCTCGCTGCACTTAATAGTCCAATAAACGGTTCATCAGCGGGGAGCTTTTATCGACGGTAGTAATAACAGGATTTGTATAGCGATGCAAGGGTCTTACTGCGTACTACCTGCTGATCGATCCATTTTGTTTATTATATACCACTAAAGTTCTCCTAGGCTTGAATCATTTCTACGCTTTATAGTTATTCAACCCCAAGTGGGATGCTACTTTATCGYATTTTTTCTACTGAAGGCACCTCGCTGGGGCCGCAGTCGATGTCTGGCACAYGGATACCGCGGCTTCTCTAAACGGCGGAATTTACCGCTATTGATATCTAAGSCGCTTTTCTGCTCCACAAGCTTCCCTTTTCCTGATCTTRAGCTTTTTCTGGGTTCTTTTGAGGTGCTTTTCAATGGTTCTTCAGTTCGAATCTTATTTGAATATTTCATTTCTTGCTACGCCACAATCGTGTCTACAATGTAGATTTGTCAATTGAAATTCCTTTGAATCCTTTTTTTKKYYTWWTATTAATTAGATAGTATTTTGTCTTGTTGAATAACTGTTTTAAGTACATCACAGGCAAGTGTGTATTAACGTTTCTCGTTTGCATCTGTTGCATGTCACTTTGCAGCACCAATAAAATTTACATTTACAATTAAAGTGTTCCACAACTCTCTTAGTAGTGTATCCTCTACTGCAACAAAGTAATTCGCATCCCCCTATACCCATACTCGATATATTACAACGTCGGCCAATTGTTCCCAAAGAACCTGTTTCTTTTTCGCGGTAGCAAAATTCCGGCGACTTAGTTGTGTAGACAAGGTCCTCGGAAGTGGGGGGTTTGACAGTCTTTTCCTCTGGGATCAAACTATCTCCGTTGTTGTTTACGTAGACTTTAATTGCACGATCAAACCTCGTCTTTATTCCAGCGCTGGTTTTTGTAAACGGATCAAGTACTGACCAGCATGTTTTCATAGTGCAAAACTGTGATAATCCATGGCATTTGCACTTCTCTTTCAAGCTATTTTTCACGGCCTGCAAGAGGAATCACAATTATTTCAGCTTACTAACGAGCTTGACCTCTAACTATGTATCACTCGTCAAATGGAATGATAGCCAATAGGTTTTCAAAGTGACATTTTAAGCGCTGTAGTCAGCTGTTATAAGCAATAGGCATGTTTTGCAAGCAATACAATGAGAAAGTTAAGATGCAAAATCCTGTATTTCTCAAGTATATTGATTTGGAACGCACTAGTTCACATTTAATCCTCTTCACTTCTTGGGTATGTGTCAGGCCGTCAAAGCATCTCCAAGGAAGTCGGTTATAGGAAACACGCACATCAAAAAACACAGCGACCAAAAATGTTAAAATGTTACACTACTGTTTCTTCATTGGGAGACAAACGTTTTTCCAGGCTTTTGTTCTCCATATTATTATATAAAGAATCGAAGATTTCTTGTTCTTAAAAAACATCAACAGTTTGCAAGGTCCATTTCTCGTATAATTTAGGTGCAAGCATACTTATTACAAACGTACTTATATTTGCTTTAATTATAGATCCCATCGTCTACTAGCTAGAAGTCAAATACTATTATTATTTCATCTATATTATTACATAACACRAGATTTAGAAATGTCCTCATACGTAAATTAAGATGGAATTTAGATGATTGACCTCATTGGAACGCCAGCACTATTTTAACGCGTGTCTGATTGGGTCGAATTGTACAAAGCTTGGATTATGGAACTGAGAAGTGTCCTATTGTCATATGTCAGTGAATTAACACTTCGAAAACACCTCAGGTGTGCAGTACTAAGCCCAATGGATTGACTATAAAGTCATAAGCATATCACGCCTTAGCGTTTATATCATGAAGTGTGCCCAAATTGTGTCCATCAATGAGTCAGGAAAACAATTGTTGAATAGTTTAGACTGTTAACGGATCTTAAGTCACGCTTCAGCAACAACAAATTAAAGCAACACTATTCAGCTATTCTTTCAATAAACAAAAGTATATGATACTACAAAAGCTATTGAGACTTGACAAAGTGGATCCAGTTAATTCAATTCCGAAATACACCGKAAAGCATGCGAATGTACGGTTCATTATGCTCAACAATTCATCGGCTGTATCGAGAAGATCTAAATTCAAACCAATTGTTGACTATTACTGGTGGAGAAACTATGTTTTTCGATCCTATATTTCCTAGGTGTTGTTCGCTTGTCTGCATCGGTAAATACGACAAACTTGTCATGTACGTAGCTCCAAGGTAGATATTGTTTGCAAATGCACATGGTTACAACAATACAGCCGTCGGCAATGCTGTCTACATTTGTYTATCGGGCAAGAGTTTGAAATTAAAATCTCCCCAACAAACAGGGCAAATCWTGTTACCCAACAATAAATGAATTGTGATCGTTCTGACTGTACATTCGGCAGCATTGTGGAATGAAATCAGTAGATTTATCTTTATGTACGCTACAATTATTGACTAAGAGGGCACTTTTCTCTGACACCGGCGATCATTTAGCATCTGATACCCCTTGCAGCATAAATACAGACATACTGTGCACCGCTAAAAGATACATGATGTCGCTATTAAATTCCTAGTAGTACCCTTAAAAAAATTAAACAATTATTAAGAAAAATGTAGATAATATGCGGCTTACCTCTCTTCCGGCCTTACAATTATGTTTTGTAACTAATGCTTTTGCGTCAATGTTGTTGCTCTCTCCTTCAACAAACTGTTTAGCGATCTGGATACCGTATTTGACAAAATCCTTGCATCCGTTTCGCTCAAAATGTTTTTGCCTAGCTTCTCTAAGAGCTGCATTCTTTGATTCTGTTGATCGTTTTGTAAGCAAGCCGTTTTCATCACTGTACGATTCAATTCCACCGATGCGTGATTCAAGACACTTGCAGGCCTCTAGGCTGCCTGTAGAACATGCTTTGCTGACTTCGTAAGTTATTCCAGCCGATGTAATGGCAAACACGAAAGCTGTTTCTCGGTAATCTAGTAATATCAACAGTACACGTAAACTAACTATCAGTCACGGGCACTTATCGGTGACAATAGTTGGAAAGCTTTCACTGTTTTGACATGATTCATCTTCACTTACCGTGCTGAAGTATTTTTCGTATTGACTTCTTAATTGTGGAACAGTTCCATCTTCTGTTTCGAAACTTGTGTTGGCATTCATCGATGGCTAGAGCAATTCCATTCACAACTGTCTTCACGAGTTCAGGCTTGCTCGAACAAAAGTTCTTACTGACTTTCATCGCAGTTGCAGTGTTCTTGCAGATGCCATTCACGAGACTGGCCTTTCTGTATTGAGTAAAAACTCCAATGTGAAGAATAATCGGTTTAGGTGTGTAATCCTCCAAGTGGTTATCTTTATCAAGTGTTTTATATCATAGAAAAAACTGTGTTCACAAACTCTGTACTCACCCCCAGAATCCGGTAACACCAGATGCATAGCAAGCTATAACRAGCAGCCAAAGTAGCACTTTATTCATGGCCTGTTGACGTTCGTCCAGGTCGCTTTGTGCAAAGAAAATTTGAGTGCTCAATTAATTCTTCTTGACTGATTTCCTCTTGATCCAAAAGGCTATAGACTGAGTGATTAGCTTTGATTGGGTCAGTTTGCTATCAAAAGACCTTAACAGGAATCAATCAAAATAACACGGGATGATTCATCGTGAGTTGCGGTCTCCTCGACGTAAGCAACAGACTGATGCTGGACCCTTAAGAGGACTTTGTTTTGTAAAATCAAAATATTGTATATTGACAAAAATAGCCCAACTCGATGTGTCCGATGAAAGGCCGAAAAGAGACAGGTTGGGTCTTAATTCCAATCAATAAATAAATCTCTTCCACAGTCACGAGAGTTTGGTCGATGTGTGAGAAGGCTATAATTTCCCACCTGGCTATGTTTGCTGATGGCTTTGGATAATTCCAAAAGAGCGCCATCCGTCAACACAACATGCTTAATTTGTACATTATTGTCACCGTCAATGAAGTGTATGCAGTTGTCATGGCTGGAGGAATGAGCATGCGTATTAGCAGCCAATCCGAGAGAAAGCACGTCTGTCCATTGTCACTTTGATCCCTATCATCTCTGGAATATGCCTTTTTCCAAAATCACTTCTAAATATAGACTTGCTATAGGTTTTTCAACCAAACTTCAAGAAGGCGTAAAGTATTCGTGACATTTGTTGGCCAGGGTAGAGACTTGTCTAGAATACACAGGCTGTCATTTAGAATGATGACAAGTGTCTTCCATGATTTGTCATATTCSTCTATTGTCTGCCCAGATAGCATTCCAATTMACTTAGCTGATATTTCATCAGTGTTTGTGAAGTGGTCTTTCAGGTCGCCACTTTATTCGAAATTCTCACCGAATAGAATAAATGTGGTCAAATCACAAAGGTGTAAAATCCAAAGATCATAATAGTGTACCATTCCTAACAGACTACCTCCAAAAAAGGCTCAAATTGTGTCATTTGATCGAGGGTTCGACTTGTTTTTCTATTGTTTTTGTTTTTCTATTGTTTCATTTGGGTATTGTTATTGTTTTCATAAGAACCTGAAATTTCTTTGTGAATGCTTTAATAGCTTACTTCCTGCGGCATATCTTAGCTGTTTAAGGATGAAATCTTTCACTGCGTAAGAACAGTCAATATGCGTCTGATATTAGAAATGAATGTATATCTCTCCCCCGTAAGGAAAATCACCTCCAATAATCAAGTTGTTGTACAGACAGTGCTATGTTTGTTATGAAGACTTAATTTTTTCACATCCACCATAACGCACTTTTTTTAGACATGCGCACGGGTGTGTACCGTATCATTGTTTCCTGTTATGTATGACAAAACCCGCCGATCAGTGACTCACTGTTTCGCATTTGTGGAATCTAACCGCGTTTTTTATGTAGAATCGTAAAACTGATCAGGTCAAAGATTTTTGTTTTTAGGAATGCTAAGAACGAGTGCTGGGGTCTAGGTTTCATCGTTCACTTCTTGTAAATTACTTATTAGGATTGATCAATGTATTTATCCGTCATCCTGTTGTACATCTCCTTATATATCCACTCAGTGAAGAAGATATGATTGATTATGATAATTCGTTCAACAACAATAGAAATTGTCAAACATCGTAGTGCTAATAGTATGAATTTCAACTTTCCGTCCAGACTAGACATTTTCAGTAGAAGAAAACTGACGCCCAGCCCTATCGAGAACTTAACATTTTTTCAAATTAATAAACTCATAGATATAATTTMTGCTGACTGAGCAGATAGGATTGATTACAGACAGTACCTTAGTTCTGATTTAAGGAAAACTCCATAAGTCAGTGTTAATAATAAGWTTTTTTAAATTATCCCTAGGTGTCTTCGCAATACATAGAATGTGCAATTTATGTATTTGAATACTCCACTCGTCTTTAAATGTCAATGACMACTTGAGTATTGGACCACAAAATAACCATGAACGATAAGAATTTCTAATTTGAGTTTTATTATCGAAAAGCGAGAATTTTATAGCATGRAGCACAAGTTATCTCAGTTCACTAGTCGYAGCTCTCGGTTTTTTTCGTTAATGTTGAAATTCTCCGTATGTCTCGAATATCCTATCTCCAGAGTAGAAGTACTGGCACATCTTTATATCCCTCCATTGTTTGGATTTTAATTCAAGACTTGTTATAATTCATTCATATTAACCATCAATTGAGGCATGCTCATTGAAAATCTGATGAAACTGCCGCTGACCAAGGAGAACACAAGMTCTGAAATAAGATTGGTAGTTCTATTTCCAAGTGCTTCTTTGCATCGAAGTGTGGCGATCATGCAGCATGAATAATTATAGATACCGTTGAAGAATTTTCTGTAAGTGTAAAAGAAGGTTTCCTTTATGAACGGACGTCTCGCTTCGATGCAAAGCACGGCTGCCTTTCAAGATGGCGCAGGGAACCGTGAAGAAGATTACTTACCAACGTCATTTTTATATTTTGACTTTGAATATTCGAAATAACTCAGTTGTACTGATGAAATCAAACAGAATAATTTTTTTTAAAACGATCTTAAATGCTTTTCAATACTTTCATTAGAATCTTTAGTAAAGATGTTTCATCATGTGTCTACTTCACGGATTAAAAGATCGAATGGATATAAAACTGAGATATGGGTGTTAAGCTATGAATAAGCTATAAATAAGATCTCAGAAATGTTTTAGAAGGCTATCTCATAAAAGCTAGACTTTGATCGTAAAACTCCTTTGTACTTTTGTAAATTAAAATTTTGCTGAGAAAATGGTACCAGCCACCTTAAGAAGGTATCAGATCCATCAAGATGGGATCCCTGTGTCAATTGCAGGAAGTGGGTGACCTTGCTATGCTACTTCGCGAAACGCTGTGAAAGCCACTAGCTTAACTGAATGGACTCTTCCTCTGCATACTCCGTATCTAAACGCATACACCACATGACATGAATTGTCTCTCACTGAACTATGAGTCTAGCTGAAAGCAGCGTCGACTCGGTGATACAAATGAGTGTATTTTTCGAAGGGTAATTCTCCAAATCGAGTCATTCAGTTTTTACAACCAACGAATGTATACAAAATTTAACTATGATTGGTCGAGGACATCGATTTAAAGGTGTTATGTTATACTGATCTTGGCTAGATGTGTACGTATTATTAAGTTTAGCCTTTCCCATACTCTCTGTCAACATAACACAGGAAGCCCGTTCTTTTTACACTGAGAAYGTGATTGTTTTGATTTACATCTCTGAATGCTGTGATTGTTGTTTATTGCAAGTTGCCGCCGGAGAAAAAAATGGGCTATAACTTTCTTGGCAAATTTTATTGAAATGTCGTGACAAGACGAGTTCATGAGAAAATTGCACAATAAAAAAGGACCTTATACGCGGTGTTTTACTGSAATTTGATGGCATATTTCAATCTGCGACAAATAAAAATAAACTCATATTCGGGCCTTCAGGTATCTTGTTGCTGAGTGATGATGCTATGGATCCATATACTTTGACGATATGGCGGCCATTTTGGATTTCAAGGGTATAAGTTTTCCTTTATTGGTGTCGAATATCATTTAGTTCTCAAAAACAATTGTYAAGATATGGGTATTAAAATAATAAAAACGAGAAAA